ATGAGGTGGATTGATTCCATCACTAGGGTATTGGCAATAGATGTGTCAAAGATAATAAGTTTGGCGAGGGATAGAGTAGGGCTTAGGGCTGTTGTACATAGGGTCACTATGAATCACAGGCAACTAGACGGCACATAACAACAACAACAACAATTCCGCCTATGGCCAATTCTTAATTTGGGGCACTACAAGGGAAGATCTGCCCCAGAGATAAGCTTGTTAAAAGTAGAAAATGGTAGGGGGGTTGAGGCATGGCCAAGGGGAAAGACTGAGTCCTAGCCAGTACTTTGAGGAGATTTGCATTTCACTGGATTTGTGGAATGACAGTGGACTGTTGATGGAAGAGGTTCACATTTAAAAGAAAGTGAAACCGGAATGGAGAGAAGGAAATAAAGAAAAAAAAGGAAAGGAAGAGGCTGTCTTTTTATAACTGGAACAAGTTGTGTGGCTCCTGAGGCAGGGTAAAATTGGTGCCCATCACGCCCCACCTCCAAGACTTGAGGTTGGAGTTCGCTCAGTCATATCGATCAATTGGATCCACAGGTGTGGAAGCGGGAGGAATACAAGAAGGGAAAAAAAGGCTGAGCTTGAGCATGTTCCTTCAGGGCTGCCCACTTAGCAAGCACGGATGCGTGGAGGAGCAGGGAAGGTTGCTGGGGTGAGGAACAGGGAGTCATGAGGAACCCTGGCCTGTTGACCTGACTTGGTCCCATGTGAGGGCTGAGTGAGGAGACCAAGAGGTCTGGAATGCAGGGAGAAGTATGGACTCCTGAGGTCGCAACTGATGCTCATTTAAACCTAGCCATAGATGACTGGGGATGCGTTGACCAGAATCCAATCAGATGAAGAGAAGATGAGCATTGCTTGTGAACTAGGATTGATTGCTTCAACTTGATGGCTTGCTCTGGCCTAGATGATGTTTATGGATGCGGATACTCAAAGTTTCCATGTTGAATGGAGGATCCTTCAGCAAAAGGGATATGCTTGTTACCTCAGAACACTGGTTTGGTGGTTGTTGTTATTGTTATGTGCTGTAGAGCCGCTTGTGACTCATAGCACCCCTGTGTACAACAGCCCTAAACTCTGCTCTATCCCTTGCCAATCTTATTGACTCTGACATGCCTATCCCCATTACCCTAGTGATGGAATCAACCCAGGTCTTCCTCTCCTGCACTGTCTCTCCACCCTCCCAAGCATGGCATCCCTCTCCAAGGACTGATCTTGCCTTCCAACATGTCCAAAGTATGTCAGACGAAGCTTCAGAATCCTTGCCTCCTCCAAGGAGCAGTTTGGCTTCACCCTCCCCAGGTCGAACTTGTTTGTTCTCCTAGCAGTCCATGGTATATTCAATACTTTTCTCCAGCACCACAGCTCAAAGGCATCAACTCTCCATCTATCATCCCTAGTCACTGTCCAGCTTTCTGATGCATAGCAAGTAATTGCAAAGACCATGACCTGTATCAGGCGCACCTTAGTCTCCAGATTGACATCATTCTCCTCAGTACGTTGGAGAGGTCTCTGACAGCAGACACCTGATTCTCCAGACTGACACTGTCGCGTCTCAGTACCTTTGAGAGGTCTCTGACAGCAGGCTTTCCCAGTGAAATTTGTCTTTTAATTTCCTGGCTGCTGGTACCAAGAGTGTTGACTGTCGAGCCAAGCAAACTGAAGCTGTTAATAATCTCAATCTCTTCATCATTAATCATGATGCTGCCAATTGGCCTCGAGGTGAGAATCTTTGTCTTCTTGACATTGAGCCTTAATCCATATTGTAGGCTGCAGTCCTTGACACTCTGCAGTAGGCACTCCAGGTCCTCCTCAGTTTCAGCAAGCAGGGTTGCGTCATCCGCATAACTCAGGTTGTTGATGAGTCTACCTCCAATCCTGATGCCACACTTTTCCTCATAGAACCCAGCCTTCCTGATTAATCTGTTCCACATGTAGATTGAAAAGATATGGAGATAGGACACATCCTTGAAGCACACAATTTCCAGTGTTGAACCATGTAGTGTTTTTTTTGCTCTGTTCTGAGGATTTCCTCCTGGTATAAGTTTTACATACATAGGGTTTTCAGAGGCCTGCTATTTCAGAAGTGGATGGCCAATCCTTCTTCCTAGTCTGTCTTAATGTGAATGTTCAGATTTAGAGAAGTATCAGACAGACCAGCAAGTTAAAGGTATATCCCTTATTGCAGAGTTAACTTTAGTGTCAGTGTTGTCCCTGCCTTTCTCACACGTGTCTTTACCCACTTATTTCCTGCTTCACCATCCACCAGGATACCCATCCACTTCTACCCCCTCCCTTCATATCTATCTCCCTTTGACCAGCCCTCCATATAATAACTTATCAGAGGAATGTCTATCTGTGCTTCATTGACTATGCAAAGGCATTTGACTGTGTAGATCATAACAAACTATGGCTGACTCTGAAAAGAATGGGAATCCCAGAACACTTGATCGTTCTAATGCGAAACTTATACTTGGACCAGGAGGCAGTCATCAGAACAGAGCAAGGGAACACTGCATGGTTCAAAATTGGGAAGGGCGTACACCAGGGATGCATCCTATCTCCATACCTTTTCAACCTGTATGCAGAACAGATTATCCGGGAGGCTGGGCTCTATGAGGAGAAATGTGGGGTCAAGATTGGTGGACGATTTATCAACAACCTGCATTATGCGGATGACACAACCCTGCTTGCTGAAACTGAAGAGGACCTGAAGCACCTGCTGCAGAGTGTCAAGGACTGCAGCCTACACTATGGATTGAGGCTCAATGTCAAGAAGACAAAGATTCTCACCACTGGACTAATTGGCAGCATCAGGATGGATGGTGAAGAGATTGAGATTGTACACAGCTTTAGTTTGCTTGGTTCCACAGTCAACAGTCTTGGCACCAACAGCCAGGAAATTAAAAGGCGCATTGCCATGGGAAAGTCTGCTGTTAGGGACCTCTCCAAAGTACTGAAGAGCAATGGTGTCTCTCTGGAGACTAAGGTGCATCTGATACAGGCCATGGTCTTCACAATCACTTGTTATGCATCAGAGAGTTGGACAATGACCAAGGAGGATAGAAGGAGAATTGATGCCTTTGAGCTGTGGTGCTGGAGAAGAGTATTGAGAATACCATGGACTGCTAGGAAAACAAACAGATTTGTCCTGGAAAGGGTTAAACCGGGTGGCTCCTTGGAGGCAAGGATTCTGAGGCTCCGTCTAACTTACTTTGGACATGTTGTGAGGAGAGACTGGTCCTTAGAGAGGGACATCATGCTTGGGAGGGTGGAGGGACAGTGCAGGAGAGGAAGGCCCTCTATGAGGTGGATTGATTCAGTGACCGGGATAATTGGGATGGGAGTGTCAGAGACAGTGCGATTGGCACAGAACAGAGTGGAGTTTAGGGCTGTTGTACATAGGGTCGCTATGAGTCACAAGCAACTCGAGGGCACATAACAACAACAACAACAATAAGTTTTACATAAGCATAATCAAGTGCTCTGGGATTCCCATTCTTCTCAAGGTCAGCCACAATTTGTTGTGATCACACAGTCAAATGCCTTTGCATAGTCAATGAAACACAGATAGACATTCCTCTGCTGCTCTCTGCTTTCAGCCAAGATAGGGATGGGCAAATCAGCAACTGGTTATCTAAAAGGGGCTGTTAGGGTATGAGGCATGAAGCAGCTAGTTTACAAGCTTTCACAGAAGTAGTTGTGGGTGGGATGGTTATAAGGAAGGGAAAAACCCTCCACACCGTAAATGAACTAAATATAATGTAAATGAAGGATTGTATGGAACACATTGTACATGCATGAAGCACAATGTAAATGAATGACAAAAATATGAATAAAAGACATCTTTTGAAGACTAGAGAGAATAAGTGAGCTGATGAATGAAGAATACAGGACATAACCCAGCAGAGAGTAGGTGTTCAGTATCACCTATTGGTGGTTATAAATGTTGCTATTTGAGATAAAAATGAGCAATCTCTTGGAGACGTCATCTTGGAAAGCTAATGGCACAGTAGTTAAGCATTCAGCTGCTAACTGGAAGGTCAAAAGTTTGAACCCACCAGCAAGTCCATGGGAGAAGATGTGGCAGAGTGCTTCTGGAAAGTTTACAACCTTGGAAACCCGATGGGGCAGTTCTATTCTGTACTATGGTATCTATACAAGTTGGAATTGACTTACTGGTAATGGGTTTGCTTCCTCCACTTCTTGGAAGGAAACAAGCACAGGAGCACTTACAGAATACAGAAAACTATGAGAGGCAGTGCCAAGTCCCTCCACCTGAGGGTCTCACCTTATCCTGTTGGGCCAGGTTCTGATCCAGGTAAGACTCCTTTTCAGACACTTCTTGTTCAGGAAGATCCACAGTGTTAGTCCACACTAATGCAAAACACCAACAGAGATACAAAAGAGAACCGTGAATTTCCACAGGCCTTGAAGAGAATTTCCATACTAACCTCAAATTAATTTCTCCTAGCAATTTACATCTTGTATACCCTTTTGCATTGTAGTTTGATGCCTGTGCTCACTGAAAAACAATGAAGACATTACAAAAATATAGAAAAGGGAAAGATCCCCCCTGATTTCTCTTTCTCAGTACTAACTCTGCTGTTACTCAGTTTGTGGGGTCCCTTTCCAGATTTTCCCCCCTTTAATTCCACATAGTACCTGATGACCCTGGAAAGACCATTTAGTTCCTTTTAGCCTAGATTTCTACATATAAAATATGAGGACATTAATATTTTCTATGGAAAAGGACTATTGTGAGAATTAAAATAAATAGTATTCTGGAGCAGGAGTTGACAAACTATGAACCTAGGGTCAAGCCTCACCCACTGCTTGTTTTTTGTAAATAGTAATGGTGTCTCTCTGGAGACTAAGGTGCATCTGATACAGACCATGGTCTTTGCAATCACTTGTTATGCATCAGAGAGTTGGACAATGACTAGGGAGGATAGAAGAAGAATTGATGCCTTTGAGCTGTGGT